TACATTCATTTTATTCAAGGCTGCCCAGGCTTTAGCTATGCAAATTTTCATATCCTTTTCAGTATAATTTATTTTGCTTCCTTAGGTATGTAAAAAATTCGACAGATTTTATTGATTAACCTGAGACAGTTTGTATTTAGCCTTGCTGGTTGAAGCCTATGAATTCGGTTTTAGAGGCATTGATATAGAGTCCAATAACATTAGCAGCATTTTTTAGATGATGTAGGAGAACTGTGACATCGGTAATAGTGTCTGTAGTGAAAGCTAGGTCATCTGCATAGTCAATAATTTTTTTGCAGGATATCGACTTGAGAGTCTTGGTGATAAAGTAAAACATAGATAATGATGTTTATCGATGGAAGTTCTCTGAACTATTTTAAAAAAATTATATTTGTGTAAAAAGTGACAGTTTTTCTTTTGTTTGTTTGCTTTTTTAAAAAATAATTTCATCCCACGCAATGCAATAAAAACGCCATGGGTTACTGAGTGTTAGAGAATATGAAAAAAAAAACACTATTAAGGTGAGAAAAATATGAAAGAACAGAAATTAAAAACAGAAAATAATGATTGACATTACATTTAAATTTTTGAAGATCAAAGTTGACGCAAGAGGCCGAGAGTCCCACAAGCGAGAAGTGCGAGAAAAAAGAAACTAACTTGTAGTTACATCTAGCTATTTCAACTGTAAAAGGATGAGACCTTACGGCCAATCTAGTACAACGCTTAAATTCATAAAAGTCTAGGTACCATAGAGGAAATTTCATCAGAACAATTACCATGAAAGTATTTATAGGAAGGGCACAGGAAAGCTATGTTTTCCTACTTCATGTCAGCAGAAAACGTTATTCCGAGAAGGTACCATAATCCTGGAGGTTAGCATCAGCCATAATGATAGAAGGCTAAATTCTTGTTTTTATGTTTCTTCGTGCAGTTCTTATAGTTGTATAAATAAAAGATGAAAATGACTGAAAATTGCATTTTTTTTTAAACCCTCTTGATTTAACGCCCTTTTCGATGAAGCGCTTCCTTGAAACGACATTTTTCTAAATAAGCGCCCCGGACATTAAATCGAGCATTTACAGTATTCAAGAATTGGTCATTTTGCAATTCCTTATAACTGCATCGTCAACTTTTTTCAACCTGGGGCGGTTATTGATTCAACAATTTGTCATTTCATTCTCCGGTTAAACTTACATTTTCTTTCCATATATAAGAACAGGTTATTACAATATATATATATATATATATAACGTCATCCACAGACAGACTGTTTCGCTGTTTCACAGCTCATCAGTGTGGCTAGATATCCGGTTGCCTCTAGCTAGGATCGAAACCCGACTGAATTGGTGTCAGTCGGAGATTCTAACCATTAAGCCGTCGGCACACGGTAGGGATGAAAGTGGATTTTTTTTAGCGTATTTATTTTTAGAAACACGCCCAGTGACCGACAGTGACTCAATTCGCATCTGCGAAGAGTCTCGCTATATAGCTATAATAGTCACTGTTTACCAACCCACACCTCGTCCCCAGAGAGCTCAACTGAAATTGATATTTCAGGAGTCAAATATATATATATATATATATATATATATATATATATATATATATATATATAATGCACATCGACTGATTCTTTTAAAATCCAGAATAACTGTGACTAAAAGATGGCGTGATTGCATCAAATTCTGTCATTTTGTCGTCCTCATAACGCTAGTTGTGTCGGTTGTCATAAAAATTTCATATTTTAAAAATATAAAAATCAAGTTTCTTGTTTTCACAAATTAAATAGTTTCTCCCCATGCGGATTGTAAGCATCTGCTACGCGCTTATTTTAGACAATGGCAATAATGGAGCCAGTGATTCAACATTACACAAGGATTACTTTATTAGCTATCGCTCTACTGCAGTCGACCGACATAGTGATAGAAACAGGTACGAGCTGCCACTTTTCTATTGGGGTTGGATGCGCAAGCTGTCATTTTTATTCCAAGAAAAACAAAAAGTTATATTTGAAATATAGCTTACTGGCAACCTTGTTATACGAGCATCTGCGAACATGATAATCTTTTTTTAAAGACAAGAACATAAATTTGGGGTTATATAAAACAGTTCTATTCCACCATTATTATCATTATTATTTATAAACGAATACAAGTGCGAATGACCTGTTGAACCAGTTTGCTAGTACTACTATTGTAAATAACTAATATAGTGGTATAGCGAAGCTTAGAAAAAAGAAGAAAAAAGAATATAGTTCGGTGGCCCATTTGAATGAGGTCTACGAGCGGAGTTTTCGTAGCCGACTAATAAGGTGCTCTCATGATAAGACGGCTTACCCAAAGATAATGGATAAGTTCATTGTAAAGCGAAGACGGATATAAACACCAATCATCAAATGACAAAAATATTTTCTGTGTCCGGTTAAAAAGTTAATCCTTTGAAAATAAATATTTAACATTTTTTAACCAATGGGTTGGTTTCCAGTCCGCAAAAAAAAAAATACATGCTTTGTGATCCCTTTGAAAAGTATATAAGCAAAATCACCAGACCAGACAATCCAGTAAGGAGAAAGCGCGGTAACATACTGCAACAGATTTACGGCTTAATAGAAATTCCCTTACGCATTCACCCGTCTTCCTCATCAAGCTACGTGACACTTACACTCTTCCTCACCGAGCTATGTGACATTTACATTTTCCTCCTCAGTTTCTCTCTGGCCTTTTTTCTCACATACACGCGAAGAAATCATATTATTTTTCATTTGAACAACCAACTACAAACAAGGAATTTTAACACTCATACACGATGAGAAAAATTAGTTATAAAAACATGAAAAGAAAAATATTTTATATTTTTATATTTAAAATCCTTTCTCGCCTTTTTCTTTGTTGCGGGTTGATTCAAATCCGTAACATTACTTCTCATTGAAAGATTATTCTTTATTTCCTATCCATACGGATTACTTAACGGTCGTATAATGTCGACCTGATATTTGCGATAAAAATGTCAGATATAAAACGAAAGAAATACTAATTAATCAAAATTGAATAACAATCCAAATAAACTGGTGTCAATAATTTAACATGTAGCTTTTCTCTATGCGAATACTATAACTGATTTATTATTTGACAAGTTTTGTAGCTATCAGTGTAAAAAAATAAAGGTTTTATGTGGATATCAACAGAGAAGATTAATCATTTCGTCGTAATTAACAAACTGCCTTCGCACTTCATTACTACTAATTAGGGCACTTTGATGTGGTGTAAAGATTATCAAGCTTGTCTCGCTAGATCAATTACGAGTGAATAATGAGTTCGATACTCACTGGGTGCTCCATACTTTCAACTTTGTACCACATCTAAGCTACGTTTAGAAAATTACCATCTTTACTTCGAATTATTAGTGGGTTCGATCCAAATTGGTTGCCTCAGACTTATGGCTTTGTTCAAGAGCAAATTGTAGTAAATAACTTCAAGTGAGCAGTGAGTTTGATTCTAACTGGTGTTTCATGCCTGCGGCCTTGTGTAAGACCAAGGTAAGCTTAATAAATAAGCCCTCCACCTCCATATATATATATATATATATATATATATATATATTGTTACGCCCGGGGTTTCGTTGGGACTACGATAGCCGGGACGCAACGAGAAAATAAAAAAATAAGTAAGAGATCCCAAGGTTCGATGTAAAAATAAAGAAAAGAACGTTGGGAGGGGAATTCTCCAATTCCGGACGTCGGTAATCGCAGAGAGAAAATGAACAATTCGCAGACACAGAACAACAGAAGACGACACGAGAATATATAATACAAAGATTTTATTTATAGAATACACGGAGTGTGAATGTAAGAAAAAGAAAAAGAAAAAGAAAACTAAATAATACAAGGTACGGGGAGATAAGTTACCAATTAAACAGATACTAATGCGGCGAAATACATATGAATACGGAGATAGCAGATTATATGATATGGAAAAACATGCAGAAACTTACATAAGGTTGGAATCGACGTCGATTGACTATTATCGGGGTACAGTTTGTTCAAAGGATATTCATACACTTCTTTGAAAGTAACGGATGGGATTGACAATGTTCTAATATGAATTTTTGACTGGCGACGTCCAATCCGTGTTGATGGCGAGGAGAACACACAGAAAACTCACGGGAATATAGCTAACTTGGGTTGACGATGTTGATCTAGATTCTCGCGTCGGTCCTTTGGTTTTTGGTGGCATCTAATTCTTCTGGCATCAAACAACGAAGTCTGGTTCTGGTGACAACTGCTTCTTCTAATGGCAAACAGCTAAGACTGGTTTTGGTGGCGTCCGACTCCTCCGATAGCCAGCAACTAGGTGAGGTTGTTGTTACCTCAACACGTGCGAAACGAAAACTGCTATATGTTGAGTCACGTGTTGGCCCCCCGCCAAAAGGTATGCGTCATTCACGGACCCTGTTAATGTCATCCGCACTTATCTGTCAAACAGCGTTCGTTTTGGCCAGCGACTATGGACCTGGCTAAAATCATTCGCACCTATCTGTCAAACAGCGTTTGTTTGGCCTACGCATCAGGGACCAGGTAGGAGATGGGGGGTAGAAGGGAAGGTTCTTTTCCGAGAACTGGCCCTGACTCATCTGGGTATAAAAACAATATATATCTCAAAATCTGCATATTCAAGAAATAAAGAAGTAATTAAGATTCATATGTTTCGTCGCAAATACACAAGGTACTGAAAATATACTTATAAAATCTGAGGTGAGGGTACAAATATGGGGTTAAACGTAATATATATATATATATATATATATATATATATATATATATATATTAAACTATTGGAATGGCTATTGGATATAAATCATTTTTACCATCTCAATATAATATTATATATACCCGTAATATAATAAAACTTATATACACGAGTGAATAAAAACGGATGTATATAATATTTAAAAGAAAACACTTTAGCTACATATTTACAGAACTTGGTCTTACATATGATTAGCATGCGAAGTTATCTATCTATCTATCTATCTATCTATCTTATAGGACCTAAACAATCAAAATCATGGTTTATTTACTCTCGCGAGAAAAGTATTGACTGGAGTAACAAAAATTCTGTTTTAAAGTTATCGGCGAATTTTAAAGATAAAATTCTGCTGTTGTTTCTTCAAAAAATATTAATATCTATCCATTCAGTATTGTGACTGAACTAAACTAAATATGTTAACCGAGCGTTAACTTCAAAACTAAACAGAAGAATCAATGCGTAAATTCTGTCTTATATTTTCTTGAAAAATTATTTTAAATGAAAATTCTCTTTTCATAAACAATAATATATATCCAGTATTTAAGACTGAAGTTACTTGAAAAACTCATCAGATAATTTTAAAGGCAAAATTCTGCTGTTGTTTCTTTAGAAAAAATATTAAATTAAAATCTATCCAGTATTCAAGACTGGAGTTACTATAGGAAAATTTTAAGCGTAAATTTTTGCCATACATTTTTTTAAAATTATTTTAAATGAAAATTCAGTGATAAGACTGAAGCAACAAAAATCATGTCTAAAACTAAACCGGAGAAATTTATAACTAAAATTCTAACTATATTTTGGAAATGGATGTAATTTATAAATTAAAGGAAAAACTTTCTCGTTACAAATCTAGAAACAACACTACCTTGAATTTAATGATGGCCAAAGCAAACGTACTGTTATACTCCGTCGCAATTAGATCTCTTTCTGAATCATTCTGTACGCTGGCCGAAAAGGAAATAATAAAAGCCGAGTTCTGCGCGTTAGGCTCCACGCATCACATCCGGCCTATGAAGTGAGCTCCGGCGGCCTGCCGTCACGCTGCTGTCGACACCGCCTTCGTCGCCACTATTCAACATGACCGCATCTCTCAATGACCGTTACCACTCCCAGGCTTAACCAACCACCTCGGCTATCCAGCTTCGACTTGAAAACACCTCAACTTCGACTCCTCCCAGCTACAAGCCTTCATCGACACCAACCACAGCAAACACAATCCACGAGCGGCTGACTATCCAGCTACAGGCTTTCATCACCGACGAGGCTATCACCTCGGCAAATATCAACCAACAGAAATCGACCTTCCACCTTGACCTCGATTAGCGACCTCAATTCCATAGAACAGGCCTACCAACCCACGCCGTCCCCTCGGTCTACCTCGACTCGTTTACAAGGCAATCCCTTCGCAGTCGACACCGCAACCTCCGTCCCATAGAACAAATCTACCTGCCCCCGCTGTCACCTCGGCCTACCTCGACTCGTTTACTACGCTTACTCCAGTTCGCTATTCCTGTACTCTCTACTAACAATAAACGTTGTTTCAATCTATTCGTAGTTATTCCTTTCTTTTGCTATCAAACGCTTAATATAACATTTTCTTCTTTTATGTGCCGTGTCTCTTCAGGATGTAAGCGATCATGGCTCTCCACTTCCACCTATCCCTTGTAGCTCTCAATAAGTTTTGTCCCTTTGCTACTTCCCCTGTTCTGTCATCCACTTGCTTAATTCCGCTAGGTATGTCACACGTTGCTTTTCCTTGTCTCTCTTTCCCTCTATTCGCCTTGTGAGTATGAAGTTCTCCAATCCCCCTTTCTCGTTCTCAGAAATTTCAGCTGCCTCTTCCTGATGTTAAGTATAAGCGTCCTCCTTGTTTGCATCCTCTCCAAAACCTCATCGTTGCTCACACGCTCGGTTCATTATATCCTTAGAAATGTTAAATAATTTTCATGTTAACTTGTAGAAAACTAGTAATTCTCTTGAAAAGATATTGTATCTTTACCGAGAATAGATAGAATGAGAGTGGGAAACTTTGATTTGAAATCTTTCAAGAGTAATTGTGAAGAGCTGAAAACTCAAATGATGAAAGATGGAAATTTTGTTAAATATGTTGTATATTGAACCGATGTGTGGGGTTGTGTCCCTTCGTTTCAAGTGATCCAACCTGTTGGGTTATCTGTCCTTTACCCCTAGGGAGCATTTTGTCGTGGTACCTTATAATAAAGGGGCAGTGACGAATGGCCGCCATGTTTATGATCTCTTATGTAAATTCTGTCTTTTATGGTCTTTATCAGTTTCAGCATGTTTGAATAGTACACAACAATTAGCGACGAGTTTAACGAACAATGGTTCTCAGTAAAATGCGGTAACGGAACGTCGGTGGAAACATCAACTTTGCGAAGTGGATTAACGGATTTCTCCGAAATACAGACAAAGAAATGGCATTGCTGGGAACAATGAAGGTGTAACAAGAGTACTTGGAAGAAAGATTTATTCTCCTAATTACGTTTATTCTGTTATGGGCATTGTTATATCCGTGATCTGACAACACCGTAGCTCACGGACAGGACGGAACAGAATGGTTGAAAGGAAAAAGAATAACAGGCATGCTTTGTTCTCAGAGGGAAACTTATATATAAACTACGACATACGCAAAACCATATATATATATATATACATATATAGACATGTCCCACTTGAAGAACTATATATTATATATATATCTACATAGCAAAACAATGTATAAGAAGGTGTAGTGGACCGTGGCTGTGATGTTGTTGATAGAAGTAGAAGAACACATGTGGGGTTAAGATTTTCCTGCTAGCCGGTCCAACTACATGAGAAAGTTGGACTTTAATTAAGTCCAATGAAGGCAAAGAAAAACAAACACAAGACCGATAAATATATATATACAAATATATGTATTAATAACAAGAAAGGTTACAAGTTACATGGACAGTTACAATGGACAGAATGTGTGTGTGAATATTATATGTGTGTGTGTGTGTGTGTGTGTGTGTGTGTGGTGAGTGTTCGTACGTACGTGTATTGTGCTTAGCGTGTTCCCAGCATTTGGGAAACGCTATCTCTGTGAGCGTTTACATCTGCGAGGTGGTAAGGCTGAAAAGCCCGAGGGAAAAGAGAGGAAGAGGCGAAGGGTCAGCGACTATTTATAGCCAGGGAAGAGAGACCCCTGGTGAAAGGGAATGGTTTTACATATAATTTGAAGATATTCTTGACCTGGAGAAGCTATTTTTAGGATTCCATATTTAAACAGGTCGGATTCATCTATGTCCCGAAGGGAAATGACACCATGTGCTTGTAAGCTGCTGGAAAGACCGACTTAGTCTCAGTCTAGGTTAAAAGGCACTGGCTAAAATGAAAACAACTTTCTCGTTTGGTTGCTGTTCACGAACTCCAATCAAGTGCCGCTTTAGGTCACTGTATTGAGTGACGTCACGAAGCGCTCGTCACGTGACTACGGGACTTATCTTCCACCAAAGGGGGATAAGCGTTTTCTGTATCCCTACAAATAAATGAGACAGTACAAAGGGAAAATGGGTGCATTATGTTGAAAGTGTAAAATTTTTCTTCACAGCTAATGATGTGTTAACTGAAAGTAAGCGACGTGCAATTTTTTGTCTCTAATTCGCGCTAAACATTATGCAGTCCTTCGAGGCCTTTCTGAGAACAGGCCGTAGGAGAAAATGTTTGAGCTGTTATATGTTTTAATGGAAAGACACATAGGCCCGTTCCTAATGAAATTCATGAGCGTTTTTTGCTCAACAGAAAAGACAAAAAGGACGTTGATACCACTAGTGAATATGTAGCTGCATTACGAAAAATGTCGGAGCACTGCAATTTTTATGAAAAAGTAAACGAGCACATACGAGATCGTTTGGTTTTAGGAGCGAAGAACGAGAAAATTCAAGAGCGTCTACTTGATGCTAGAACACTAACATTGGAAAAGGCTATTGAAATAGCAGTATCTATGGAATCTACCAGGAAGTATCCCAAAGCAATGCAGGGACGTGAATGCTACCATTGTGGGAGCACCACCCACCTTGCTGACAAATGTCTGTTTAAAAACAAAGAATGTTTCAAATGCAGAGGGATAGGACATTCCCACCGAAAGTGTAGACAAGATGAGGGCAGGCCTTCTAGTGCAACAGCGCATAATGAGAAAAGAAGGACAGTGAATAACGTGGATGAGAGTTATGAAGAAGAAAGGGAGATAACCATGGTAAAATTGGATCTGCACACCGATGCTGTTCTCTGAACACAATATGTACTAGTAAAAGTGTTAATAAACAAAAGAAAGGTATTCATAGAAGTAGACACGGGTGTCGCATGCTCTCTAATGAGTTTAACTAAATTCAAGGAATTGGGCCAACAGAATGTTTGGTGAAGCTAAGAACATACATCGGCGAATTGGTGAAGCCATACGGGACAACAGAAATCTAGGTATAATCATATGAAGGTACGGAGAATCGTTTGCCATTGCTAGTTCTGAAGGGTGACGTGCCAACTCTACTGGTTGTAAAAAGTAAAGTTGTATACAAATTTAATTTTTATTATTTTAAAAATGTTATAATTATCTAAATGTATAACCGTCTAGGTTGTTTTTTTAATACACGTTCTTTTGAGAGAAGTGTATATTTATGTAGGCCAGATGGTTTGTGTAAAATTTGTTACACTTATGTATCTTTTTCGGCACATTGGTTAAAACGCGCCAAAACTTATGAAGTTTTTGAAAAATTATTTTTTCGCATATATTGACCAATGAGAGACGTTGTTTCAAGCTCTAATAACTTCCCGAAAAATGAGGTAGAGGTGAGCCTAAATTTTAAAATAAATATGGCTCAGGTCAGTAGATTTTTGGACAGAAAAGAAACAAGACAGGTCGCCAACATCAAAGAAGGCTTTTTGGCATCAAGAGGAGACCAAAGAAGGCTTTTTGGCATCAAGAAGAGACGAAAGAAGGCAACAGTCAGTCGAGACCAAAGTTCAAGCGAAAATTCTTCTGAAGTTAGACAGCCTAAAACGAAAAGATTTCGAAGAAATTTTCCCAAGCACGAACTGAAAGGGACTTTAAAAAATGCTCTGAAAGTAGGTCTTTTCGTTTTTTTCTCAAAAATTGTTGAACCTTTGTTTATTACAATTTTCTTTTATATTGTTTTCTCTTTTTATCATTTACAAAATCCTTGTTTTTCCCTCACTGTAATTTTCCATTTTTCGTTGGCAAC